TTTTCTGAATTTACCTTTAACAGAAGGCAGGGTTATCTCAGTGAATACAAGAGGGTGTGTCGGCTCATCTTTGTTCTTCCCCTGGGAGAAGGCATCTGAGGGCAGCAGAAACCCCCGTGCTGTGGGCCTTAGGGTCTAGGTCCACGGCCACAGGCCCTAGTTGTGAATAGAGCTGGGACCTATGCCTGAACCCCGGCTCCAATTAGGACTCAGGGCCCATAATAGTTCAAATATAAGGTGATGAGTGACCCAGGGCCCAGCCTGAGCGTGGGATGCTGAAGCCATGGGTGCCTGAGCACCTCAGTGACCGCTTCTTGAAGGACACATCATCCCACAGCCGGGAGTGTGGGCAGGAAGAGCTCCTGGCTCCTAATGGGGTCCTAAGTCCTCACTACGTGCTAGGCATCACTAGACACAGGGCGTCAGAGAAGCTGAATCCCTTGCCCAAGTTCGTAGAACTGAGAAAGTGATGGAGCAGAGATGTGGACCCCTATCTCTCTGACACACAGTTCGTGCTTTCTACCCCAGCAGTGTATCCCAAAGTTCAACAGAAGCTGTTGGTTTGTGTCCTTTGAGCAGTTGATGTTCCAGCACCAGGCCTGGGGGCTTTCTGTCAGCCCTTCATGGGGAAGGTCAGAAGTGCCAGTGTTAATTTCCTCAGGAGCAGCCCTCGGCCAATGAGAGGTGAGAGTTGGAGAATAAATACCCCTGCTCCCTCGCCCCTTGGGTGAGATATCTCTGAAGTGTCGCTCCTACACTCTCTCCCAGAGGTCCTTCGTGGGATTGAGACCTGGCCAGCCTCAGTGGCAACCTGTTTAAAAACACACCTTTCTCAACATCCTTCCCTTTCCTGTCTTGCTTCCTCATTCCCTGATTGGTGCTGCTTTCTGGGTTCTTCTTATAAACAAACTACTTGTGCTGATTCCTGTCGCAGGTTCTGTCTCCGTGGAAACCCAGCGCAAGATAATAAAGTATGGTTTGTCAGACAACCCACAGGGAGAAAATCTTCACAATCTATACATCCAATAAAGGACAAATATACAGAATCTACAAGGAACTCAAACAAATTAGAAACAACAACAACAAAAAGGCCAGGTGTGGTGGCTCACACCCAGCACTTTGGGAGGCCGGTGGGCAGATCAGGTCAGGAGATCAAGATCATCCTGGCTAATACGATGAAATCCCATCTCTACTAAAAATACAAAAACTTAGCTGGGTGTGGTGGTGGGCGCCTATAGTCTCAGCTACTCAGGAGGCTGAGGCAGGAGAATGGCGTGAACCCGGGAGGCAGAGCTTGCAGTGAGCTGAGATCGTGTCACTGCACTCCAGCCCGGGCAACGGAGCAAGACTCCGTCTCAAAAAAAAAAAAAAAAATTCCTGTCAAAAAGTGGGCTAAGAACATGAATAGACAATTCTTAAAAGAAGATATACAAATGGCTAACAGACATATGAAAAAATGCTCAACATCACTAATGATCAGGGAAATGCAAATTAAGGTGGTATCACAATGCAATACCACCTTACTCCTGCAAGAATGGTCATAATCAAAAAATCAAAAAATAATAGATGTTGTCATGGATGCAGTGAAAAAGGAACACTTCTACACTGCTGTTGGGAATGTAAACTAGTACAACCACTATGGAAAACAGTGTGGAGAGTCCTTAAAGAACTAAAAGTAGAACTACCATTTGATCCAGCAATCCTGCTACTGGGTGTCTACCCAGAGGAAAAGAAGTCCTTCAACAGAAAAGATTCTTGCACATGCATGTTTATGGCAGCACAATTCGCAATTACAAAAATATGGAACCAGTCCAAATCTCCATCAATCAACAAGTGGATAAAGAAACTGTGGTGTATATGTGTATATGTGTATATATGTATATGTGTATATATGTATATGTATATGTGTATGTGTATATATATATGAATATGATGGAATACTACTCATTCAGAAGGAATGAATTAATAGCATTTGCAGCAATGGGATTGGAGACTACTCTTGTGAGTAAAGTAACTCAGGAATGGAAAACCAAACGTCATACATTCTCACTCATAAGTGGGAGCTAAGCTGTGAGGATGCAAAGGCATAGGAATGATAGGATGGACTTTGGGGACTCTGGGGGAAAGGGTGGGAAGGGGGTGAGGGATAAAAGGTTACAAATTGGATTCAGTGTATACTGCTTAGGTGATGGATACACCAAAATCTCACAACTCACCACTAAAGAACTTACTAATGTAACCAAACACCACCTGTTCCCCAAAAACCTATGGAAATAAAAACAAAACAAAACAAAGTATGGTTTGCACACCCCTGAGACATGTAAATTGACTTCAGGTGGTACTGGGAACACTTAAAAATTGACTGCTTAAATGTGAATTCAAAGGAGTGTTTGGGAAATAATAGTATGGACATGGCAACAATTGTGAAGGTGGTGTGAAAATAACACCTGGAAAATGCTGCATTGTACAATTCCAGATGAGGCGTCTCCCCTTGGTCCTGGCCAGAATGTATGCATACAGTTTATTTTCTTTTTCTCTGTATTATTTTTTGAGACAGGGTCTCACTCTGTTGCCCAGGCTGGAGTGCAGTGGCATGATCTCGACTCATTGCGACCCCTGCCTCCCAGACTCAAGTGATCCTCCCGCTCAGTCGCTAAGTAGCTGGGAATACAGGTGCCTGCCACCATGCCCCCATAATTATTGCATTTTTTATGAAGATGGGTTTTGCCTTGTTGCTCAGGCTGGTCTCAAACTCTTGGGCTCAAGGGATCCTCCGGCCTCAGCCTCCCAAAGTATTTTGATTACAGGTGTGAACCACCACTCCTGGCAGTTTATTTTCTTTTTTTTTTTTTTTTTTTGAGACGGAGTCTCGCTGTGCCGTACAGTGGCCGGATCTCAGCTCACTGCAAGCTCCGCCTCCCGGGTTTACGCCATTCTCCTGCCTCAGCCTCCCGAGTAGCTGGGACTACAGGTGCCCGCCACCTCGCCCGGCTAGTTTTTTGTATTTTTAGTAGAGACAGGGTTTCACCATGTTAGCCAGGATGGTCTCAATCTTTTGACCTCGTGATCTGCCCGCCTCAGCCTCCCAAAGTGCTGGGATTACAGGCTTGAGCCACCGTGCCTGGCCTATTTTCTTTTTAACTAGAGATAAGGTCTTGCTCCTTCACCCAGCCTGCAGTGCAGTGGCATGATCACAGCTCACTGCAACCTCTAACTCCTGGGCTCTAGTGATCCTCCCACCTCAGCCTCCCAAGTAGCTAGACTACAGGCGTGTGTCACCTGGCTAATTTTTTTATTTTTTTGTAGAGACAGGGTCTTGCGATGTTGCTCAAGTTGGTCTTGAACTCCTGCCCTCAAGCAATCCTCCAACCTCAGCCTTTTGAAGTGCTGGGATTACAGGTATGCACCATTGTGCCTGGCCTATAGTTTCATCTTTTATCCCAGCATCAGCTTGGCTGTGCTTCCCTTTTTTGTCAGGACTGCTAGGAAGCTCAGAGACAAATCTGCTTAGTTTGCATTTTCAATCCTGAAGAAGTCCACTTCTGACATACGGTTTCTCATCTTCCTGAGTTTATATTTAACTGGTGTATGTCATGAGTTTATATTTAACTGGTGTATGGGCAATCACCTCACTTCCCGAACCCTCAGGGTCCTCACCTATACATGTGGATGATGGGGGCCTATTTCCTAATAAGGATCAAATGCAATGAATCCACACAGAGCGTCAAGCACAGACCCGGCATGTTGTAAATGATCAGTGTTAATAGTCATGATTGTCATCCTTATTAAAGGAATTTTCATTTCAATGAAGCAAGAGGAGCAAACTTGGACAAGTCTGTATCCCCACAAGGTCAGCTGCAGTCCTGAGTCTAGTACCAAGGTGTGAATATCAGAAATGGAAAGAACACAGTTGCTAAGCTAGGCTGACGCTCTGTGAGGGCAAGGAGCCCTCTGTCTGTTCAGCCTTCTGTCCGTCATGTTCACCACCAAATTCCTTTTTTTTTTTTTTTCTGAGACCGAGTTTCACTCGTTGCCCAGGCTGGAGTACAATGGCGCGATCTCGGCTCACGCAACCTCCGCCTCCTGGGTTCAAGCAATTCTCCCGCCTAAGCCTCCCAAGTAGCTGGGATTACAGGCATGTGCCACCGCGCCCTCCTAATTTTGTATTTTTAGTAGAGATGGAGTTTCTCCATGTTGCCCAGTCTGGTCTTGAACTCCCGACCTCAGATGATCCACCTGCCTCAGCCTCCCAAAGTGCTGGGATTACAGGTGTGAGCCACCATGCCCGACCAACAATTCTTAAGACCCAATACCATGCCTAGCACGTAGTCAGTATTGTTGAATGAATGACATGGGACAAGGTATGTAGTGCTGTTTGTGGGTGTCATGCAGCCGGGCTGCCACTGGGCCCCTGAAGTCCTCCTTGCTGTGGGTTTCTGGGCACACAGACACTCCTCTTTTTTTTTTTTTTTTGAGACGGAGTCTCGCTCTGTCGCCCAGGCTGGAGTGCAGTGGCGCTGTCTTGGCTCACTACAACCTCTGCCTCTCGGGTTCAAGCGATTCTCCTGCCTCAGCCTCTGGAGTAGCTGGGACTACAGGCGTGCATGCCACCACGCCCAGCTAGTTTCTGTATTTTTTTGTAGAGACAGGGTTTCACCACATTGGCCAGGATGGTCTTGAACTGCTGACCTCAAATGATCCGCCTGCCTCTGCCTCCCAAAGTGCTGGAATTACAGGTGTGAGCCACCGCGCCCGGCCGGCCTCCTCGTTAATCCTCACAGCAACCCAGAAGTGGGTTGTCTCCCATTTCACAGACAAGAAAACTGAGACACAAAGCAATGTGTCCAAAGTGGCATAGGTAGGGAGTGTGAAACCCCCAGGACAGCAGAAGGCCTTTCCACCCTGTCCAACCCACCTGTACCCTGGGCCCTGAGGCCATTTCTTCCCAGAGAAATAAGCTTCTTTCAGTCTTTTTCTCACCAACCACAAAGACTCAGCTCTGTCCTCAGAAATATTTGGAAAGTTTTATTTAAATGTTTTGTGTTCCCTTTTAACCACCACCAAAAAGAGAAAAAAAATTTTTTTTGCCGTTCCAAATGGGAGAATCGCTTCAGAGAGGAGCTGGCATGCGTGTTCAGAGCCCAGGAGTGTGAGCCCTGCCAGGTGGCTCTTCCTGGCCTGGGCCACGCCGGGTAGGATGGCCACCCAGGCACCAGCTTCCTGGGACCCCGGTGGCCTTGGAGTGAGTGAGCGAGGCCTTGTCCTGAGGAGAAAGACCTCATCTCCCCTGAAGAAGGGCTGGGCCTGAGGACAGGGACATGAGCATGGTAGGGCCTGGGGGGTTCTAGAGGGAAGGAGATGAGAGTGGGAGGGTCAGATCCGGAATGTTCCATGGAGGCTTCAGGGCCTCTGGGTCTGGAGAAATTGTTTGCTAGAAAAATAAGAGGCTTTGAGAATTTCTGCAGTCTGTGCTCTCTGCTTGCCCAAGAGAAATCTACCCTGTTGGCCAAAGGGCAGCGGGGAGGGAGCAAAGGCTGGAGGCCAGAAGTGGGTTTGGCCCTCGGGGAAGATTCCAGAGGGGAGCGAGGTGGGCGGCAGACTTTGGTTTCCTGGGTCCCCTTTCTCGCAGTTGCAGAGGCTGAGGAGGCCCCCACCTCCCTGCCCCTTGCGGGGTGGGCTGCCGGGCGGTGGGCAGCACTGGGGAGTGGGAAGTTGGTGTGTCACGGGCTCGTGGGTGCCCGGGCCCTGGGCCCTCAGAACAGGATGCTCAGGGGGAAGAGGGCCAGGGGGAGCAGCAGGGGGCCTGCAGCAAGGCTGCCTGCCGAGCTGGCAGGGGCACAGTGGTCGAGGTTGGCCCCGATGCAGGCTGCGTACGCCATCACGTGGGGGATGTAGTTCTGCTCATGGACGCCGTGCAGCAGGTGTGCCATGGGGCCCTTGGAGAAGACGGCCACATCCTCCCCGCCGTGGGTCTCGTGGCGCAGGGGCACAGCAGACTGCGCCTGGTAGTTGTTGTGAGCTGTGGGCCAGGAGAAACGCCTGCTGAGAGCCTGCCAGGGGCCTGGCGCTGCGCACGCAGCTTTTCCATCCCCCTTCCAGGCTGGCTTGAATGCTCCCATTTCATAGAAGAGGAAAAGGAGGCTCAATGTGAGAAAGTCATTTTGCCTAAGGCCACAGGATTTGAATCTGAGCCTGTTCTGACATAGGAGTCTGCATCCTCAACCCCCAACAGCGAAAGTTAACCTCATTGGGGCTGCTTGGATCAGCAGGGAGAGTTGAGAGGGAGACTCTTACCATTGCTGCATCTTTAGACCCCCTGGAACCACTGGGAGTATCAAGAACAAATGAAGGATATGGGATGGGATGAACTAACTGCAAAGTCTTGTATACTGGAATATTAAAGAGCCAAGAAAAATGAGTATAAAATATTGACCACCTACTTCTGCCAGGCACTATGCTAAGCTCATCAGACCCATTTGGTCCTTCAGACAACCTTCGAAGGTAGAAGAACCCTTTTAGAGAGGAAACGGCAGCAGAGAAAGGTGAAGTCACATGCCCAAAGTCTCAGAGCTGCTAGACTGTAGAAGGCAATTCAAACTGAGGTTGTTCTCACTCAAGTCCCAGTCATTCTGAGACCCCTGATCTTGACCACAAGCTGACACCCTATTCCCAAGCCCCTCCCCGAGGGGTGCCCTGTCCCCTCCCAGCCCTGGGTCCTGGAGGGTCTCACCATAGTCCACCATGGAGACATTCTCTCGTTCACCGCCCACCACCTTGTAGCCAGGCCCATTGCCATACAGGATGGCAGTGAAGGGCTTCTTGTCTGTGTCACTCAGCATGGGGGCCAGACCTGCACAGGGAGGGGGTGTTCAGGGGTCATGTTGGGGTACCAGGAGTACAGTCCCCAGCCCCCAGATTGGGCTTCTTGGTGGCATGGTAACCCCTGGGATCTTCTCTGAAGGGCCCCACAATGCCTCCATGAAGCTACCTTATTACTTCCAACTAACCATTCCCCAGTTCCCATTGTACTCATGTCCCTCCCATTCATCTGTCCATCCATCATCCATCCATCATCCATCCATCATCCATCCATCCATCCATCCATCCATCCTCCAGCCAGCCAGCCATCCTCTCCCCCATTCATCTATCCGCGTTCTCGCCTAGCCATGCTCAATGTGGCCATCCATCCACCCACCTGCCTGTCCACCCGACCACCACTCAACTCACTCCCCCGCCTCACCCTGTATTTTCTCACCATCCCAGTCACTCTCCCTCCCCACCCAGTTGTCATCGAGTCCCTACCATGCTCTGGGCTTGCTGGCTCTCCCACCCACTCCTGCTCCCAAGTGGGTAGACAGGAGACCCCAGGAGTGTCCACCCCAAAGAAGGCCCACCTACCAAAGATAGAGTTGCCACGGGGGGTGTATCCACCAAAGGTGAAGACGTGGGAATGGTCCGCGGTGACCACGGTCAGAGTGTCTTCCAAGGAGGTCATGCTGCCTGCCTGCCCGATGGCCCGGTCCATCTCTACCGCCTCGTGCAGGGCCTGCTTGGCTTTGCCTTCATGGTGCCCATGGTCGATCCTGCCTCCTTGGGACACCAAGGCAAAGGCCTCGGGTAAGAGAGGAGGGGAGGAAGATCTGCTCCCCGGCCCCACGACACTGCTGCTGGGTTAACCTTTGTTAGCTAGGGAAGGACAGGAACCTTCACTGGACACCACTCTGTGCTAGCACCACCGCCTAGGCATTTCACGCAGTCATTCAACCTGATGGAGCCCAGAGAGGGACAGCCCTGGGGCCAAAGGCACACGCATGGGGGCTGCAAAGCCCAGATGTGTAATCAGATCCACCAGGCCGGGAAGCTATGCTCCTCCCACCGCCCCTCCCAGCACTGTCTCTAGCTGCTTGAAGGAGGCACTGAAGCCTTTGGGAGGTAGTGAAGGGGGCATGCTGGAATCCCTACAACAAGCCAGGCATGACACACCCATGTTTCTTTTCCCCTGAACAGCAGTGCTGGGAGAGAGGAATATGATCAGTCCTATTTACAGATGGAGCAACTGAGGCCTAGCGTGGGGAGGCCCACGGTGGGATTTGCCGGGATGTGAATTCAGGTGTGACTCGTCCTAACCCCGTTTTTCATCTCTACCTCAAATCATCCCCTCTAAAAAGAAAGCATGGAGCTCCCAGAGGTGGCGAAAGTCCCCAGTGCCTGGGCAGTGCCTGTGGCAGGTTCCACAAAGCCCTGCCGAAACCTGAACCCCCGCTGCCTCCGCCCCCACCTCCCACCCCCGGGTGAGTGCAGGGGCCTGGCTGGAGGCTTGGCCCAGCAGCCGAGGGCTCTGTGACCTTAAAGGAACACCTCCCTCTCTAACAGGAGGGCGCTGCCTGGTGGACGCTCCCAGCTTGGAGGGTCCTGGGCGCCAGGCCGCCCTCTGTTCCCACCAGCCTGAGCCTCATGGCGGGCTGGCCGGCTGGCAGGGCGGGTCCTCCCTTTGTTGTGGCTCTGGGAGCAGCTGGCCTGGCCGGCCCATTCTGGCCTTGCTCACAAAGGGAACTGCTCCCGGGGGAGCCCGTGCTCGCCACCGCTGGTTTCTGGCTGGCTCCTCGGCGTCAGAGGCCTGTTCGGGGCCAGGCCGAGACCGCTGTGCTTGAGTGGGAACCCCGGGGTTTGGCAAGAAAGCAGCCAAGCTGGGCTGGCAGACACTCGCCTCTGGAAGGCGGAGGGGCTGAGCGTGTGTGTATGCGTGGGGAGCATATGTGCAAACATACTCGTGTGCGCATGTGCGTGTGTGTATACATACCGATGTCAGCAGGGCAACATGAGGAACTGCAGTGGGCAAGGGCTGTTAGCACTGGAAGGTTTCTGGAATCTTTATCACTTCCTCACACTTCCTATTGTTCCCGCCTTAACTATTGTGTAGCCATAAGACTAGTAATAGAAACACAGGGTTTATTCTTTACTGGGTCCCGTTCCAAGTACTTTATGTCTCTGAACACAGTGGAGGTGAATCACTCTCCAGGAGACAGATGCTATTTTTGGCTTCACTTAACAGAAGCGCACAGGTAGAGGTCACACCGCCAGCAGATGGCAGCGCCAGGCCAAGAATTCAGGTCTGTCTGTAAGGCCCCTGGACGGCGCTCGAGGAGCCTGGGAATGTCGGCGCACGGCGTGGGAAAGCCGGAGCCTGCGGATTTGCCTTTCCGGGCAGTGAGGTTGAGGGGCTGCTTGCCCCTCCAGGGCCAGGTCTCCAAGAAAGACTACCAAAGGGGAGAAATCTGCCTCCTCTCCCAGGAAGCCTTCCTGGACTGGTGAACCTGACTTGCATCTCTATGCCCAAAGGAGAGCAGCTTGCTGGGCTGGGAGCGTCCACAGAGCCACCCGTCTTCTTCCGCAACCCATTTTCCTAAAGGGACCTCTCCCTTCACCCCCAAACCCAGTCAGTTCCCTTTAAGAACTGGACTTCTCCATCCCCTGACACCAGGGCCATGTTTCCAGCAGCCCCCTCTCAGCAGACCCGGGGTTCCTACCTTCCACCAGCAAGAAGAAGCCTTTGGGGTTCTTCCGCAGGATCTGGATGGCCACCACCACCATCTCGGAGAGTGACGGGTCCGTCACGTTGTTCCTGTTCAGCTCGTACTCCATGTCCCCCGGCTCAAAGAGACCTGAGGAGGACACCAGGAGGATGCGGATGCTGAGAGGCTGTGACCCTGCTAGGAGGACCCCAAGGAACTTGGGGTGTCTCAGGGGATGCAAGCTCCCCACAGCCAACTTGGGGGTAGAGTATGGTGGCTGGGAGGATCCTTATCTGGGTGATTTTTGTGGGCCCAGAATTGGGCCCCCAATTCCTTTTTTTTTTTTTTTTGGAGACAGAGTCTCACTCTGTTGTCCAGGCTGGAGTGCAGTGGTGTGATCCCGGCTCAGGCTCACTGCAACTTCTGCCTCCTGGGTTCCAGTGATTCCCCTGCCTCAGCCTCCCGAGTAGCTGGGATTACAGACATGCATCACCACACCGGCTAATTTTTTTTTTGTATTTTAAGTAGAGACAGGGTTTTACCATGTTGGCCAGGCTGGTCTCAAACCTGACCTCAGGTCATCCACCCTCCTCGGCCTCCCAAAGTGTTGGGATTACAGGAGTGAGCCTCCGTGCCCAGCCCCAATTCCTTTCATCTTCACTCCCACCACTATGGCGTGGCAGGATCGCCATGCGCATGTTACAGAGGAGGAGCACTGAGGCCCAGAGGTGTTCCATAACTTGCTATTGTCAGCTGCAAAGTGGCAGGTCTGGGGTTCAAATCCATCAGTCAGTCTGCCTCCAGCCTGCAGGGCTCAGCACACAGGACTGTGGCCCCAAGGCAGTGGGCCACAGCCTGGACTCGATGGGGCTGCTAGGGTGTGTGTGCATTTACATGTTGGGTTTGAAGGGCATGGTGGCCTGTGCAGCAAAACAGCAGAAGGTTTGGAATCATTGTCCCCCCTGCTCACTGGGCTCCGTTTTCTCACTTGTGACATAAGGAGAATGATCCGTTTCTTGCCCATGGCACAAAATTCCATGTGTCCTATGCTGGTGCTTCTGATTCTGGTGTCCTTCCAGAACATCCTGTCCTCTGTGAACGGGTACACAGCCAAACAATAGCTCCAGTGCATACAGCGTTTACTTTGTGCCACATGCTGTGAGCGCTTTGGAGCAGGCAAAAGCTAGCCTCCAAGATGGTGCCCAATAACCCCTGCCCCCTGGAATTCACGCGCTTGTGTGGTCTCCTCCCACACTAGCCTTTGTATGCAACTGAAACGACATTTCAGTGAAATGAAATGACATTTGTGTGATCTCCAAGGTTGGGGCATAAAATGCTGTAGCTTCTGTGTATACACTCTTGGATCTCTGTGGGAAGCCAGCCACCACGTGACGAGGACACTCAAGCTGCTCTACAGAGAGCAATGTGCCAAGGAACTGAGGCCTCCTGCTAACAGCCAAGACCAACTCGCCAGCCATGGGAGTGAACCGTCCGAGAAGGGCCAGCCCCAGTCAAGCCTTCAGATGACTACAACCTCATGGGAGACCCAGCTAAGCTGTCCCCAGATTCCTGACCCAAAGAAATTGAGTGAGGCAATAAATGTCTACTCTTGTTTTAAACTGTTAAGTTTTGTTTTGTGACAGGATCTCACTCTGTTGCCCAAACTGAAGTGCAGTAGCATGATCATAGCTCACTGCAGGCTCGAACTCTTGGGCTCAAGCAAGCCTCCCACCTCAGCTTCCTGAACCACCACACCTGGTTTCTTTTCTCTTTCTTTCTTTCTCTCTCTCTCTTTCCCTCTCTCTCTCTCTTTCTTTCTTTCTCTTTCTTTCCTTTCTCTCTCTCTTTTTCTTTCTTTCCTTCCCTCCCTTCCTCCCTCCCTCCCTCCCTCCCTCCTTCCTTCCTTCCTTCCTTCCTCTTTCTTTCTTTCCTCTCTTTCTCTTTCTTTCTTTTAGATGGGGTCTTGCTCTGTCACCCAGGCTGGGGTGCAGTAGTGCAGTGGCATAATCACAACTCACTGCAGCCTCAACCTCCTGGGCTCAGGTGGATCCTCCTACCTCAGCCTCCTGAGTAGCTGGGACTAAAGGTGTGCGCCACCACACCTGGCCAGTTTTAAAAAAAAATTTTGTAGAGTTGAGGTCTCGCTATGTTGCCCAGGCTGGTCTCAAACTCCTGGGCTCAAGTGATCAACCTTCCTTGGCCTCCCAAAGTGCTAGGATTACAGGTGTGAGCCATTGCACCTGGCCTAAGTTTTTGTTTGTTTTTTGTTTTGAGACAGAGTCTTGCTCTGTCACCCAGGCTGGAGCGCAGTGGTGCGATCTCGGCTCACTGCAAGCTCCGCGTCCCAGGTTCACACCATTCTCTTGCCTCAGCCTCCTGAGTAGCTGGGACTACAGGCACCTGCCACCACGCCAGGCTAATTTTTTGTAATTTTAGGAGAGATGGGGTTTCACCGTGTTAGCTAGGATGGTCTCGATCTCCTGACCTCGTGGATCTGCCCACCTCGGCCTCCCAAAGTGCTGGGATTACAGGCGTGAGCCACCGCGCCCGGCCTGCACCTGGCCTAAGTTTTGAGATAATTTGTTACACAGCAACAGATAACTTATACAACACAAGTTCATGTCATGCTCGTGACAACCCAGGGGTTGTCTCCAGCCCCGTCACTATCTCCATTTTATGGGAGAGTCACTATCCCTACTTTATAGAAGAGGAAACTGAGGCAGAGAGAGGAGAAATCACTTGCCCAAGGTCACACAGCTTAGAGGTGGTAGAGCTGGATTTGAACCCAGCACTCTGGCTCTAAGATCCATGAGCAAGACCAGCATGATGCACGGGTGCATGCACAGCCCGTGTGGTACTGGGTATGTGCCGTGTGAGCCAGGCAAGCAAGAGGCTGTGTGTATGTGTCTGGAGGACCCACCAGGTGCACAGCTCTGAGCCCATAACCTCTAATGACACCCAGGATGTGGAGCTGTGTTCCTTGGGAAATGTCTGCAGGAGATTTTGCAACCACTTGCTTGGCACTACAGGCAGCTGGAAAAGAAGACCCAGATAGCTGCGTGGTGGTGCTCAGGGCCTCATCCCACCAGACCTGAAGCTGCCCCTGTGCCCTCACCACCTGCTCCCCACTGCCTGGGGAGGAGGGCAATCATCAGGATGGGCAGAGATAACTTGGCTGGCTTCTGCCCTGTCCATGCACACAGTAGAGCTGACTCCAGGTCCCAGGCTCCGTAGCCCAGGAGCCGTTAAGTCCCAGTTCCCAGCCAGGGGTCCAACCTGCCTGGGCCATACCCCTGTCGGCTGTGCCACATGCCGTGTGCCACTCCCCTCTTTGAGCTTCAGTTTCTTCTTGTGCCCAATGGGGCTAATCCCCCTGCACAGCCAGCAGATTTCAGGCCTAATTCCAGGAATCAGAACCCCCTTCCTTGCTTCTCCCAGGTCCTGGAGCCCAAGGGTGGAGGCCCCTAAGTGAGTGTCAGGCTGGGGCCTTGTCCCCGGGTGCTGGCCACACACAGCCTTGGCCACCAGGCTCCAAGCCATGCATCCTCCACTCCACTCCCTCCACTTACCCAATAGGTAGTCCACATTGTGGGGGTCAAGGGTCAGGAGTTCCGTGCGGTTCCAGATGAAGTGGGAGTGCTAGGAGGAAGGGCTGTGTCAGCACATGCCGGGAGCTAGGGAGAGTCGGAAGGACTGACCCCAGCAGCTATCGGAGTCTGAGGCCTTTACTTATTTCCTTCCTTCACTTAAAAATCCCTCCCTGAGGACCCACCATCCCTGACCTCAAGAAATGATGAATCAATAGCACATTATAATGTATAATGCAAGGGGATGAGAATTCTGATAGAGCCCAGGGAGGCCGTGAGCCCAGACACAGGACCAGGGAGGGCTTCCTGGTGGAGGTGATGTTCTAATGGGGCCCTGGAGGACAAGTGGGAATTTAACAGCCTGGGGTCAGGAAGGCTATCCCAGGGGGGAGGGATCACGGGGCAAAGAAGAGCCAGGCACAGGTCTCTAGAGGCCTTGAGGGCTGACAGGCCTGGGCTGTGTTTTCCAGAGGCCGTGGAGTGCCAGGGAGGAAGCAAAGCCCTAGTTCTGCTTTGGGGGCCCCATCTAGGACGGGAGATAAAGGTGGGGCTGTTTCCCCAGGAATAAAGTCCATGGAAAGAAGCCAGCCAGGCCAGGCCTGGAGAGGGCACCATGTTGGCCTGGACCAAGGGTCCCAGCACTGCCAAGGATCTGCTGTGTGCCCTTAGGAGACCCCCTGCCTTCTCTTGGCAATGACCATGGGATCAGTGGCTTTTCAAGCCTCAGGGGCTGTTGTGGGGAGCAGGGCGGAGAGGCTCAGAAAGTGGGGCTTTGCCACCCCCAGCCCCTGCTTCCTGGAGGTGACTCTCCTGTGCTCTGTCTCCAAGGTTGTTCCCGTTACTCCCTCTTTACAGATAAGGGCAGTGAGGCACACAGACCATGTAGCCACCGAATGGTAAAGGTGAAACTGACTCTGAAACCCACTCTTAAGGCACGATTTTCTAGGGATGTGGGGCCTACATGGGACCTGACTGATACCCAATGTGGCCAGGCTTGGGGCCATGGTGTAGACGCTCTCTCCCCATCTTAGAGGCTTAGACCGAGCTCCAGGGTAAGCTGGGCAAGGAGGTCGAAACTCTGGCCCCATGTGCCACGTAGAGAAACTGAGGCTGGTGTCTCTCTGGCTTGAGCTGGGAGGGGGCTCTGGCCCAGCCTGAGCTGACTCAGAAGGGATGGAAAGGGTTCAAAAGCCACTCAGTCCCACACCCCCACTGACCCCACAGGGCCCTTCCCTAGTCCCTACCCCCACCTTGTTCTTGGCTCAGCCTCATTCCACGAAGCCTCCCCAGGGGCCAGTCCTGGAACTCGCAGAAACCCAACCCCAGAGTGACATCAAAGTGGCTGCCAGGCTACTCCCCACTGTCTTCAGCCCTGACCACAGTCATTTCCAGACCCCAGCTGCCCCAGGCCCGCAGGCCAGCAGCTCAGATTTAAAGGGCCAGAGGCCGCTCCAAGGAGCCGGAGCTTGGGGTCCTTCTGGAGGTGCCTCCAGCCTCCCTTCCCCGATCCATTCCGTCCCCCAGCCAAGGGGGACTCACTGTGGAGGGCTTCCCTGCTCCCTCTGTGGCTTGCACACTGGGGCCAACCATGTCCTCCCCTGATCCATACAGTGCTGCCTCTTCCCTCCGCCCTCCTACTTGCCCAGGGCTTCTTGGCCCCTCCTTGTGGTCTGTCCCCCCAGGGTGCCTACAGAGCCAGGCATCCCCCATGCAGGCACACAGCGTTCCATGTTTCCTTGGCCATCTGGCTCAGCCTCTGTCTCACGCATGCCCCACCAGGGGCCTACATACAACAGGTGCTCAGGGTGACTGAATGTCCACGCAGGTTATTCCCTGGCCCAGCCTCCTCCTCACCGTCCACCTCTCTCTCATGTCCCCTCCAAGGGAAGGAAATGATCAGTCACCAACTATCTACCGCTTGTATATCTCTTAGTCCATTTGAGCCCCTGGAGGGAAGAATTCTGATGCCCTTTCTATAGAGGACAACAGAGCTTCAGAGTGGGGGTTACACAGCCTCTCACCATCAAAGGCCACCTCGGCAGCCACATGGCCCCAACACAGGCTACCTTGTGTCTCGGTTTGAAGCTCTTCCAGATGTTAACGAGGTCCAGGCCGTCCAGCCTCGTGCCCCTGGCTTTCTCGTCAATCTCATACTCCACATCAGTTTTATTCTTGGGGTACATGTATTTCCGGCCACCCCCCATGATCACCTAAAAGAGACAGGAGCCATCACTTCTGCAGGGTTCCAAGATGCCCAGAAGCCCCAGTGACCTCGGCTTGGAACCTGGACTCCTGGAGTCCCTGGGGACAGTGTGGACACTTTCCCAGCCTGGTGAGCCAGGCCTCAGTCCTCTCTGGGCCTTACTTGTCCACTGTGGGGAGATGAAACCATGAGTCTTCTCGGGACTGTGGTTTGGCGCTTCTAGGGATATTGGAGGAGCTGATAACTTACCTTACTTGGCTTCCTGCAATCCACATAACTCCCACTTGAATAAGAATCAGACCATCAGATTTGGTATGAAGTTGAGTCAGAATGTATCTTAAATGTGTGTCAGGCACTAAACACTTAAGATACATTCTGACTCAACTTCATACCGAGGCTGCAACAAACCCTGGTCACCTGTTTTCCAACTTCAAAAATGGGCACAGAAATGGGTTTTTCCCCCTGAAGGCCACACAGCCAGGAAGTGGCAGATTCAGGATTCAAACCCAGGGCTTTTCCAGCTATGGCACTAGGGCCCTGCTGTATTCATGTAGCAGAGGGCAGGGACTCCCGGAGCCTCCTCTCCCACGGTGAGAGGCTGAATGCGTGCAGGGAGAGGCTCCAGCCAGGGAGGTCTTTGGGGCAGCCCACAGCTGGGAGCCAGCCCACCGCAGCCTGGGCAAACAGCGGGGCCGGGCCTCATGGCTGTGTAGTCACCACCAGGCTAATTTTACCCACCGGCTGGTGTGTGCGGGCAGACGAACGCGGGACTGTTTGTTTTCCTTGGGAGTCCATGTTTGAAGTCCTGACTATTTTTAAAATAGGGCCAAGAGCATAACAGCAGCCGCCTGCGGTGACCACCACACTAGTGTTCTTTTGTCACCGCGGGCGCCAGCCCGGGCCACTGCCCCTGGCTGACACCTTGGGAGTGCAGAGCCTGGCTGACACTGGGCCCAGATCCACCATTCCAGGCCTGCACCTCATAGGTCCCCTGCTCTATCCTCCACTCTGTCTCCCACCTTAGAACCTCAGTTTTGCAGAATGCATAGAGGGCCAGGAGTACAGAATGGCAGGAGAGGTGGGAAAGGTGCCCCAGGACCAGCCTGGATCCAGGCCATGGTCATGGCCATGAGCTTTGAAGTCAGATTTAGGTTTGAACCCTGACTCTATCACCTACTGATCAAGGGCCTGCCACCTAAACTCTCTGAGCCCAGTTTTCCTATCCATAAAATGCGACTGGCTGGGCGTGGTGGCTCATGCCTGTAATCTCAGCACTTTGGGAGGCTGAGGCAGGAGGATCACTTGAAGGCAGGAGTTTGAGACCAGTCTGGACAACATGGCAAGACCCTGTCTATACAAATAAAATTTGTTTCAAAAATTAGCCGGGCATGGTGGTACAGACTGGTGCTCCCAGCTATTCAAGGGACTGAGCCAGGAGGAGCACTTGAGCCCAGAAGGCTGAGACTGAAGTGAGCCGTGATCACGCCACTGCACTCCAGTCTGGGCAACAGAGCGAGACCCTGTCTCAAAAATAAAATAAAATAGGCCGGGCGCGATGGTTCACGCCTGTAATCCCAGCACTTTGGCAGGCCAAAACGGGTGGATCACCTGAGGTCCAGAGTTTGAGACCAGCCTGGCCAACATGGCGAAACCCCGTCTCTACTAAAAATACAAAAAAAACTGGCCGGGTGTGGTGATGTGCGCCTATAATTCCAGCTACTCACGAGGCTGAGGCAGGAGAATCGCTTGAACCCGGCAGGCGGAGGTTGCAGTGAGCCAAGATCCCACCACTGCACTCCAGCCTTAGAAACAGAGTGAGACTCCATCTCAAAAGAAAAATAATGATAAATAAAATACCACTAACATCTATCCACAGAACCATCATAGGAGGAAAGGCAGTCACCCAGGGAAGTCCCCAGGACCCAGTGGGTGGCTGCCACCAGAAGGCATTTCTACTGCCAGTGGGGAGACAGGTGGTTCAGAGAGGCAGAGTCCTTGCTCTCCGCTGCAGCCAGGAGCTCAGGGAGCAGGGCGGGCTGGGAGGGGAAGGAGAAGGGGACCCCAGGTCACGGGTCCCTTGCCCCACCCCCCCCCAGCTGTTCCCACAGAACCTGACCTCTTGGCGTCTTCAGAGTGGAAACGAAGCCCCCAATCTTCCTGCAGGGAGCCTCATCGTTTCCAGCCCGGCAGCGACTTCACACGGGCTCATTAAACTTCCAAATAACAGACTTGCTGTTTGGCTTTGGGGTTTGGGTTTGTGTCTTTCTTTCTTTCTTTTTAAGCAACAGTATTTATTTTCAGGGTGGACACCAGGATTTTTGTTTCATGTACAGTCTGGGGACTGGGAGGCTTTTGGGGGGGTGTTGGTGATGGAGACGCAGGTGGGGCTGGGAGAGAAAGGAAGAGGAGGAAAGAAAGGGGTCCTCACACAGGTCCTCCCTCCCCATTCACTCCCTGGCTTGTGCCCCCTGACGTGGCCCCTGTGACCCCCCCTCCTCATCTCCTACCCCCTCACCTGAAACATCTTCCCTCCCCTCCAATTTCCTTCAAGTTCCTGTCCCCTGCTCAGGCTGTCCCTGACAAACCCCTCTGAGGAGCAGTCCCCATGTAATTATACCCTGTGCCTGTACAACAAATGTTCTCACATCCATGACCTCATCACGGCCTCCCACGGCCCTGGGAGCAGGCAAGTGTGGCTCTCAGTTCCTGCTGCACAGGTGGGGAAACCGAGGCACAGGGAGGGGAAGGGACTCACCCCAGGCCATGTGTCGGGTGAAGGCAAGCCAGGATGAGTGGCTTGGCCTCAGATGTCTGCTCACTGAAAGGGGCCAACAGCACTGTGTGTCCTGAAAAGGGATACTTCATCCACCATGCTGGGAAAAGGGCAGACATGGGTCTCTACTGTAGAGGGGCCAAGTGGCCCCCCCAGAAATTTGTGGGGCAGTGTATGGAGGGCTGAAGGCAGGTGAGTTTGTCTGGTGGTGGAGAGAAAGAGGTGAGGCATAGCTGGGTGGGGGGGCTTTCTCTGCCCCTCACCGAATCCCCATTCCAGGCTCAAGGGGCAGAAGTCCCCAGATTGCCTCAGCAGTCCCCCACAGTAGGCAATAAAAGCCTGAAAAGGAACGAGCCGGGCGTTCTCACTGAAGAACAGAGAGTAGGCCGGGCGCGGTGGCTCACGCCTGTAATCCCAGCACTCTGGGAGGCCGAGGCGGGCGGATCACAAGGTCAAGAGATCGAGACCATCCTACCTAACACGGTGAAACCCCATCTCTACTGAAAATACAAAAAATTAGCCGGGCGTGGTGGTGCGCGCCTGTAGTCCCAGCTACTCAAGAGGCTGAGGCAGGAGAATGGCATGAATCCAGGAGGCGGAGCTTGCAGTGAGCCGAGATCGCGCCACTGCACTCCAGCCTGGGCGACAGAGGGAGACTCTGTCTCAACAAAAAAAAAAGAAAAGAACAGAGAGCAAGCGTCACATGGATGACTTCTGCCTCATGAGTCAGCTCAGTTTGTTGAAGTGTGTTTCAGGGCAAGGCCATGTGGCTCCTGCATAAGTGCCACCACCTTCTGGGCACTCGCTAGGCCTCAGGTCTTGTGCTGAGCTCCACAGGGATTATCTTAATCAGTTTTTGGCATAAGCTTATGAGGCAGGCACAGTTTACAAAGGAGTTGTGAAAGGGAAGCCTCAGAGAGGTTAAGTAACTGACCCAAGGTCACAGAGCTAGCAAAACGCAGGGTGAGGTCTGGAACTCGAATTTTAAACAAGAGAGCTGGCACTAACCAAGCACTGTACACACCAGCTCTTCGCTGGGCATGCTGGTGGTTGAGTGTACAGAAATGTGCCCATCTGTGCCCATGTGAATGCGCAGGGCAGGCAGACGCCACTTGGCCACTACCACCTCCCTGTGTAGTGGGGGGCAGAGGTGGGCACAGCACCAGGTTCCAATTTATGGAATCATCCCTGGGTGCCTGGTTCTTGGGGTGTGGTGGCGGTCACATGAGGGTTCACCCCGCAGCCCCACCGCAGAGAAATCCCACAGTGCCTGTCTGCCCAACCGCAAATCCCCTAATGGGCTGGGAGCCTCCCAGGTGTGTGGGGAGCCAGGCCAGGCTGCTTTCTCTGGGCCAGCCTGGGCCTGAGGCCTCCTGCCCACCAGAGGCCCCGCCTTGCCCCGTCCTTGCCCGGCTGCCCCCGAGCACTCACGTCAATGTCCCTGATGTTATGCACGAGCTGGTAGGCGATGTCCTTGCAGCCCTGGCTCAAGGCCTCAGGGGGCATCTCGTTGTCTGAGTACCAGTCCCGGTCAGCTGAGTGGGCATAGGCGGCGCTGGGGGTGGCATGGTTCACTCTCGTGGTGGTTACAATGCCCACAGATTTCCCTGGGGTGCAGGAGGGGCACGTTCGGCTTTATCCACAGATCAGGGTGTCCCAGCTGCCTCCTCCCTCCCCCTCCCCCTCCCCGCTAAAGACAGGCCCCCCTTCAGTTCGGAGGATTGCCTGGTCTCAGTCTCCCCACCCACAGCAGTAGGTGTCTGGCAGTGGCTGAGCCTAAGTAGCTGAGCAGCTGGAACACTGCCTCTGGGACCCTCTCCCCTCATCCCGAAGGCCCTTGAGATGTGAGCACCCGGGCTGGAGTCCTCCCCTTCATCAAGGCGCCCACAGGACCCCTGAGGGATCTCAAGTGGACTGTGGCTCTGTCACCTGCGTGTTGGCCTTGTCACCTGTGTTTTAGCCTTGGTCCCTGACTAAAGCTCCTGGGGGCACGGGCTGGGCCTCCCAATTCTGAGGAGGGAAGGGGCGTGGCTATGGACTGCACCCCACAGGCTAGCCCTGAGCTGACTTCTCCCTCCTCACACCAAACCTATGAGGGTTTTATGTTCCCACCCGTTTTACAGTCAAATGAAGAATCAACTCAGGGAAATGAACTGGGAGCAGAACCCAGCACTGAGTGAAGCCTGAAGCCCCCAGCCTCCCCCGTCATGGAAGGAACCCCATGGATATTACAGACTCCCAGACATCATAGCTGGGAGCCCCGCAGAGAAGCCTTCTCTAGCCCCTTCCCGTGACAGAGTCGGAACGACTGAGGCCTGGACAGGCCATGAAGCTCACCCTGCTCCCCGCTGCTCCCCGCACTCACCAGCGTCCTTGGCCCAGCGCAGGATGGAGGTGACCTCGTTCCCCTGGGTGGTGTTGCACCGGGAACGCTCGGTGGCTGCGCTTACCCCCACGGTGCCCTCGTTGGCCTTCACCCCACACAGGTAGGCGGTGGCGGTGCCGGCACTGTCAGGGACCTGGGCATTGGTGTTGTACGTCTGCAGGTGGGAGAGGAGGGTCAGGAGATGGCCAGGACTTCGCCCCTACAGCCACCCACCCCGCCTCCACTCACACCATGGGGACTGGGGCGTGAAGAACCAGAGAGGACCCCATAGCCTTGATCAGGCCCACTGAAGCCCCCAAGAGCCACAGGACTACCTATCTGCCTGCTTCCTGCCGTCATTCCCTGCACCCTGGCAGCACTGGGGCGGGACCCCAGCTCTCCAAAGTACGGAGAAGTGTCCGGTGGAGGAGTGGGGCTCAGGTGGGGTCAGCAGTGGCCTCTCTCTGGGCCTGGGGCTGCAGGAGCCAGTGAGGGGTTGGGGAGCAGGGGAGTCCTGGAGAAGGGAGAGGGAGGGGCCTTCTTGAAGGAGTAGGGGTCCTAGGGATAGGATAGTGAAAGTGAGGGGAGGGGGACTGGGGAAGGGAAGGGTGGGGCCAAGACCAGCTCTGATTTCTCTGCCACCTGCCCTATGGCCACCCTCACAGGGTTGCCCTACATCCACATGTTTAGCAGAGACCCCGAAACTATTTTCCTGTCTCCCTTCCCCACCAGCCTGAGAGCGCCCTGAAGGCACAGAAGGCACCACAGTCCCCGCTACTCCCCCAGAAGTGAGCCTGGGGCCTGACCCAGGGTGTGGAGGTTATTACATAATGCCACTATCACCACCACCAATAACAATAGCTACCCGGCAGTGCACACTGCCTTGAACAACCTAGGTCAGTACAGGCATACCTCACTTTGGTGTACTCCACAGACACTGTGTTTGCTACAAATTGAAGATCTGTGGCAACCCTGTGTCAAGCAAGTCCATCAACATTATTTTTTCCAACAACATGGCTCACTTCATTAGTGTTTTTTAGCAATAGCATATTTTAAAATTAAGGTATATATGTTTTTTTAGACATAATGCTGTCCTACACTTAAAAGACTACTGTAGGGTGCAAACATAACTTTTATATGCACTGGGAAACCAGAAAATGTGTGACTTGCTTCATTACAATATTTGCTTTATTACAGTGGTCTGGAACCAAACCCAAAGTATAGCTGAGGTATGCCTATAGCTTAATTAACTTCACGAACCACCTCAGAAAAGAATGAATGACCTAGAACTTCATGCAAAAGCGTATACAGGCCAGGCACGGTGGCTCATGCCTGTAATCCTAGCACTTTGGGAGGCCCACGTGGGCGGATCACCTGGGGTCAGGAGTTCGAGACCAGCCTTGCCAACAGGTTGAAACCCCGTCTCGACTAAAAATACAAAAATTAGCTGGGCATGGTAGTGCGTGCCTGTAATCCCAGCTACTCGGGAGGCTGAGGCAGAAGAATCACTTGAACTCAGGAGGCGGAGGTTGCAGTGAGCTGAGGTCATGCTACTGTACTCCAGCCTGGAAGACAGAGTAAGACTCTGTCTCAAAAAAAAAAAAAAACAAGTAAAAAGCATATACAGGCCAGGTATGGTGGCTCACGCCTGTAATCCCAAGACTGGGAGGCCAAGGTTGGAGGATCGCTTGAGCCCAAGAATTAGAGATCCCCATCTCTACAAAAAAATTAAAACATTATCCAGGTGTGGTGGTGCACACCTGTAGTCCCAGCTACTCAGGAGGCTGACGTGGGAGGATGGCTGGAGCCCAGGAGTTGAAGACTGCAGTGAACTATGACTGCACCACTGCACTGCAGCCCGGGCAACAGAGCAAGACCCTCTCTCTAAACACACACACACACACACACACACACACACACACACGCAGGCACAGTGATGCTATGGTGTCAGAAGTCAGGAGGGTGGCTGCTGCAGGTGGGGAGTGAGCTTGGGCATGGAGGGGGGTCAGGGGACCTCTGGCTGCTGTCATGTTCGGATGCTCAACCTGGATGCTGGTTATACAGACCTGAACTGGGCTTGGGGATGGGGCTCACCTTGGAGAGGGCCACGAAGGGGAACTTGTCCATCTCCAGCCTGGTCTCCTCCCCAGGGTTGTGGTGGAGCTGACCCTTGAGGATGCGGGTGGCCGTCACTGTGGAGACGCCCATCCCTGCGGTGGGGAGTGGGGGCCTCAGTCTCTCGTGCTCCTGCCTCTCCAATCAGCCTACTTGGGTACCCAGAAGTTCTCTAGTTTGGTACCAAGGCAGGCTCGGGCAGTTGGCACCGGGCATGGCTCTGTAAATGTCAGGGAGTAGCCCCTCTCACCCTTACCTCCCAGATCCTCAGGGGGCTAGCTGGCAGAGCAGGCCTCTTGAATCCACAGCCTGGCCCCTCATCCTTTTAAACACCCTTCCTCCAGAGCCCTAGCCCCTTCAACGCAGCCCCCTTCAACTCAGCCTGGCTCCCTGGTCTCCTAGCTAGGTGTCCTGTCTCCCCACCCCCTGCCCCCACAGGCCCCCGGGCCTCACCATCTCCCAGGAACATGATGACATTCTTAGCCACGTTGGTGTTGAGCTTCTGAAGCTCCAGGGCATATTTCAGTGTCTCTTGCGCTTGGTCTCGCCAGTACTTGGGGTCTTTCTCTTTCTCTAAACAGAGAGAGACAGTTACTTGGCAGGGTGAGGACAGCCTCCCATCTCCAGACATACAGATCCCCCCACTTCTGATTGCTCAGGCTGGAATGCCTGAACTTGGAGGAGGGTGCAATAGTTGTCCCCCCAGACAACACACCTATGGTTTATAAATATGTGCCATCCAGATCCTCCAGAAAAGCCCGTGGACCCTGGGGTCTTCTGCTCACATCTCAGAATGAAGAAACCAAGGCTCAGAGACAACGAGCGACTTGCCCAAGGCCACGCAGCACAGACAGACACTGGCAGGGCTAGGCTTCGCTCCAAAGCCCATGCTCATTCCTTCTACCCAGTAGGGAGATGAGCTGCTAAGGCAGCAAATGAATTGTGCTAGCACAATTAAGAGAGTAATGTTTAACCTATTCAATAAACTCCTTCCAGCAGCAGGGGTCCCCTGATGTAGCCAGCCATCAATTATAAACTCTGCTTAGCTTATTCATTAAAGTAGGCTCAGCAGGAACCTGACTTGGTGGCAGAGTGCTGGAAAGCGAAGCTTGCCTTTTGCTTAATGTGTCAAATTCAAAGGAGCCAGGTGATCTCACTCTTGTTAGTTCTAGATTAGTTATCAAGGATGACATTCTGCATCTCTCATCACCTGCCTCCATCCCTCTTGGCTGATAATGACTTCTGGATGGGGCTTTATGGTTTTGAGATAAAATAAGAACTGAGAACACTTCTTTCTCTCTCCCTCTTTCTCACGTGTGTGTGTCCAGCAACGAATCCACAGCTTTAGTGCCAGACAGACCTCAACTAAAACCCCAGCTGCCAGGCATGGTGGCTCACGCCTGTGATCCCAGCACTTTGGAAGGCCAAGGCAGGCGGATCGCCTAAGCTCAGGAGTTCAAGACCAGCTTGGGCAACATGGTGAAACCCCATCTCTACTGAAATACGAAAAATTAGCCAGATGTGGCGGTGTGCACCTGTAGTCCCAGCTACTTAGGAGGCTGAGGCAGGAGAATTGCTTGAACCCGGGAGGCAGAGGTTGCAGTGAGCCGAGATCACGCCACTGCACTCCAGCCTGGGCAAGAGAGAGAGACTCCGTCTCAAAAACAAACAAACAAGAAAACCCCCAGCTGCTCCAAGTACTAGCTGTGTCACCTCCCTGAGCCTCAGTCTCTTCCCTGTCAAATGACATTGCTGGCACCATCCCCTCAGAGTCACTCTAAGGACTGGGCTGAATAAGGCAAGTGACACACCTGACCCATAGGAGAGGCTCAAAAATTGCCTCCCACCCCCATTATCCCATCTCCAGGGCTGGACCAGGATCCTGGCTATGAGAGCTAGAGTCCCTCCCAGAGTCTGCGGGGCCCCTCTCTGTCCCGGGGCCCTATCAGATCTGCTCAGAAGCCTAGAGAGGAGGCTCCCTAGCGGCTTCCTCTTTTGAGGCCTCCCACTGCACAGAATGGGAAGCGAGATCAGGAGGAGTGGGAGGGTCTTGTCCAAGGCCGTGTAGCATGTCTGTGGGCTGGGGACACAATTCTTACCTTTTGGCCCAGCTCCGACATGTGCCTGGCTCTTGGGGTGGGGTGGGTGAAGAACAGCCCTCCTTCCTCACACACGCACCGGCTCCGGGCGAGATGCCAGGGGCCCCCCACACAGCTTCTCTTATTCCTCCCAACTGCCTTGGTGGGTGGGCACCAGTGTCTCCTCCACATTAGGAAATGGAGAGCCTGAGATCAGGGCCCCAGTGGGAGAACTGGAAACTCACGCGTTGCCGTGGCTCTGCCCCAGCCTATGACAGCACAGGCGAGAAACGGGCACGATGCTGCAGTGCACCTCTAGCCTTGGATCCAAGCACACCCCACACCCCTCCCCAAGAGGCCTCCCCTTACGTCGCCACCACTCCAATCCCTCAGCCCACTGCCCTCACCCTGACAGCCCCAGGTCCACCCTCTCTCTTCTGGAAGTGTCTGCTGAGGGCATCAATTTCAGACATCCCCAAGCAGTCCCCACTGGGAATAGGGAGCACCTTGGCCCTTCTGCCCGACAGGGTGCCTTTGGACAAGAGTTTCCGCCCCAGGAAATGGGAGACCCGTAGCTATCCACGAGTAGTTCTAGGATGACATGAGATAAAGTCTGGGCAAGGCTGGGGCCAAGGATTTTGCTCGGAGGTCCTCCAGGCCCAGGCTGGTTCCAACCTCCCTCCTGCCTTCCTCAAAACCCCCCACGGTGCTGTTGGTCATGGAGCCTCTTTGGCCAGTTGGCTGCCATTGGGTGGTGAAGACCTTTCACCCACCCTGACCGCCGACAACCTGTCCCTGCCTTAACAGCTTGGAGTCCCGGGGCTGGGCTGACTTCAGCCTGCCCCACACCTGTTGCTCTTGTTCAGCCCAGGCTCTGCCACCAGGTCCCCTGCTCGGTCGAGGGCTTGTTCTCTCTAGATTGGAGTCCCATGAGGGCAGAGTCCTTGTCTTTTTCACCAGAGCCACCCAGGGCCTATCCCTGAGAAGGGTTTGGAGTTTGGTTTAAGCAACGATGGCTCTGGACAACTGGATTCCAAGAGGCCATTGTTTCTGGAAACTACTAAATGATATGTGCAAATGCTCATGATAGAATGCCGGGGAAAGGGCACTGATCGGTACATACTGTATGATTCCATTTCTATGAAGCTCAAAACAGGCAAAGTGAGTCTCTGGTGACCAGTGTAAGCCTGGGCATCTCCTCTGGCTTTGGGAGGGGGTTGGCATAGGGAAGCCCACAGATGCCCCATGACCAGAAATGTTCTGTCTTGATCTGCGTGGTGGTGACACAGGTATAAATATATGTCAGAAATTTTTCATGCTATGTATTTAAGATCAGTGCCTTTTTCTGTAAGTTATACCTAACTGAAGAAAAAAAAGAAGGCTGGAGTAGTGGCTCATGCCTGTAATCCCAGCACTTTTGGAGGCCATGGTCGGAGGATTGCTTGAGGCCAGGAGTTTGAGGCTACAGTAAGCCATGATTGTGCCATTGCATTCCAGCCTGGCGACAGCAGATACAAAAAGTTGAATGGCTGAACGTTTAAAGATTTTTTTTTTTTTTTGAGATGGAGTCTCGCTCTGTCGCCCAGGCTGGAGTGCAGTGGCGTAATCTCGGCTCACTGCAAGCTCCGCCTCCCAGGTTCACACCATTCGCCTGCCTCCGCCTCCCAAGTAGCTGGGACTACAGGCGCCCGCCACCATGCCCCGCTAATTTTTTGTATTTTTTTTTAATAGAGACAGGGTTTCACAGTGTTAGCCAGGATGGTCTCGATCTCCTGACCTCGTGATCCGCCCACCTTGGCCTCCCAAAGTGCTGGGATTACAGGCGTGAGCCACCGCACCCAGCCGTGAAGAGTTTTCATGTTGTCACTTTTTCACCTTTTCCCTTTTCATCCATTAGTTCATCTTTCACCCAGGTGGGCTGTTAAGTGCTGAGAAGGCAGGGACCCCGTGCCAGAGTGACCTTGGTCCCCCAGGGATGCAGCTGGCATCACGGGGTCTCAGAGGCAATGGCCTGAGAGCCCATCGGCTCAGGCTTGGTGCCCCATTGCACCCCATCTCCTCATCTGCTGAAATATAGCTGTCCTAAGAGAAGAGACCAACACTCACTGAGCATCCACTCCTTGCCAGACACTGTGACTATCCCATGTGATTCCTGTGATGGCACTAAGCGGGAGGAACTCTTATCCCCACTGGAGAGATGGAAACACTGGGGTGCAGGGAAGGCAAGTGGGGACTTCTAGCCACATAATGGACTGAGCCGAGGAAGGCTCTCCTGCAGCTCCAGATACAGAAATGCTGGGGGAAAAAAATAGCACATAGCTTGAAAAAGGAAGAAAAGGGGAAAGGAAAATCCTCAGGAGGCAGCACTGATGAAGGAATCTAAAACCAGAGGGGCCCACAGGAGATGATACTGAGAGGAACGCCTGGGACAGCAGGCCAGGTACAGATTCAGGCTGAAGCTGGTTTCTTTTCTTTTTTGACACGGAGTCTTGCTCTGTTGCCCAGGCTGAAGTGCAGTGGTGCAATCTCGGCTCACTACAACCTCTGACTCCTGGGTTCAAGTGATTCTCATGCCTCAGCCTCCCAAGTAGCTGGGATTACAGGAATGTGCCATCACGCCCGGCTAATTTTTGTATTTTTAGTAGAGATGGGTTTTTGCCATGTTGGATAGGCTGGTCTCAAACTCCTGACTTCAAGTGATCCACCTACCTCAGCCTCCCAAAGTGCTGGGATTACAGGCGTGAGCCACCATGCCTGGCCAGAAGCTGGTTTCTTTTTAAGAGACAAAGTCTCACTCTGTCACCCAGGCTGGAGTAATTTGATTATAGCTCACCATAATCTTGAAATCCTGGGCTCAAGTGATCCTCCCACCTCAGCCTCCCAAGTAGCTAGGACTACAAGCATGCAGCACTGTGCTCAGCTGTTTGTTTGTTTGTTTTTAGAGATGGAGGTCTCACTATGTTGCCCAGGCTGTCCTCAAACTCCTGGACTCAAGCGATCCTCCCACCTCAGCCTCCCAAAGCCCTGGGATTACAGGCATGAGCCACCACACCAGGCCTGCCGAAGCTGTTTTAAGGTACACATTTTGCCTTGGAGCTATGGAAGGGACAGAGAAAGACAGTCATTCGTAACAAATGTGAATTCAAGTCCAAATCTGAGCCAGGTCTAAGTGGGGATCTGAATTTATAGTGTAAGAATTGCAAACCAAGAAATTAACATAAAAACTGGCCTAGAATTAGTTGAACCCCTCATGTCCTGAAAACACCATGCCACGCTGTGGAAACACTTCCGCGTGAGTCTCCAACAGAAAAACAAAAAACTCCTGTTGAAGATGAGTTCACTAGTGAGAACTACAAATGACAAGAAAATGTGCGATCCCGTGAGGGAGAATGAGCAGACAAAACCGACAGGAGACGCAGCGGACCAAGACTCGGAAGAGTCCATAGGATTCATTATATTTCAAATTATCAAAGATAAAAGAGAGAACAGAAACCCCAATCAAAGAATAGTATAATATAAAAGGGAAAAGGCTGGGCACAGTGGCTCACACCTGTAATCCCAGCACTTTGGGAGGCCAAGGTGGGCGGATCACTTGAGGTCAGGAGTTCAAGATCAGCCTGGCCAACATGATGAAACCCCATCTCTAATAAAAATACAAAAATTATCCAGGTGTTGTGGTGCACGTCTGTAATCCCAGCTACTCAGGAGGCTGAGGCAGGAGTATCACTTGAACCTGGGGGGCGAAGGCTGCAGTGAGCTGAGATCATGTCACTGCACTCCGTCCTGGGTGACAGAGTGTGAGACTCTGTCTCTGTCGCAGAAAGAAAGCATCAGGCCTCTGAGCCCCAGCTAAGCCATCATATCCCCTGTGACCTGCACGTATACATCCAGATGGCCTGAAGTAACTGAAGAATCACAAAAGAAGTGAAATTTAAATGGCCTGTTCCTGCCTTAACTGATGACATTCCACCACAAAAGAAGTGAAAATGGCGGGTCCTCGCCTTAACTGATGACATTACCTTGTGAAATTCCTTCTCCTGGCTCATCCTGGCTCAAAAAGCTCCCCCACTGAGCACCCTGTGACCCCCCACTCTTGCCCGCCAGAGAACAACCCCCATGACTGTAATTTTCCTTTACCTACCCAAATTCTATAAAACGGCCCCACCCCTATCTCCCTTCGCTGACTCTCTTTTCGGACTCAGCCCGCCTGCACCCAGGTGAAATAAACAGCCTTGTTGCTCACACAAAGCCTGTTTGGTGGTCTCTTCACAGGGATGCAAGAGAGAGAAAGTGAGGGAGGGAGGGAGAGAGGGAGGGAGGGAGGGAGGGAGGGAAGAAAGAAGGAAGGAAGGAAGGAAGGAAGAGTAAGAAGGAAAGAAAGAATAAAATATATATATATGGGAAAAAAGTGACCTATCCGATTAACACATGCAAGTAGCAGGGCTGAGGTTTACCTGCTCTGAACACTGTTTTCAGCTCTTAAATATTTTGCATGGTTCTGGGACCTTGAACATAGACACTGCCCTCACCCTACCCCATCCCTCCACCTGTGTCCCCAAGCATACCTGGCACTAAGGAGTTGGTAAGGCAGGTGCCAATGGCCAGTACTAAGAATGGTGAAATCATGGTGCACCCCAAGACCTGCTTTATCCCTGGAGCCCAGAGATGCGATCGACGCGGGTGGGAGGGGGTGGGCTGGCAGTGGTCAGATGTTAACTGATGTTCCAATCCTATAAATTAAAAAAAGAGAAAAAGAGGCATGTGGGGCACGGCTCTAGAGATCCCTTTTTCACTCACTTAGTCATTCCTTGATTCATTCATCAAGTATTCGGTGAGCACCTATTACAGACCAGGCATGGGGCTAGACATTGGGATGACAAACCCAGGTGGTCCCTGTCTCAGGAAGCTGAACCACGCAAACAGTTGTGTCGGTATCAACGAGTTCCATGCTGCAAAGCGGTTCCGTCCCATTTCCTAAATGAATTTCCACTTTCAATTCATCTGAAGCCCCCAACCTCCCAGAGTCCAGTCTTCTGGTGCAGTGTTTCTCAAACTGTAAAGAGAGCAAGCATCTGAATTCCCCCAAAGGCTTGTTACAACAGATTCCCGGCCCACCCGCGAGGCTCCGATTGTATTTCCAATAAGCTCCCAGGAGAGGCTGCTGCTTTGCGGACCACACCTTGAGAAGCCCTGTTCTAGGGCACTCGGTCTTCAGCCTTTTAATTACCTGTGCCCCAGGAACATCAGGGACAAAACAAAGCGTGCACCCCTTCTTTCAGGACCCCTGCATTTGCTACATTCTCTTCTAGAGCTTGTCGTTTATGGTAAGAGATATAAAAACGGTAGGAGTCACATATGTGAAAAGACTGGCTGGAAGCGTGGCTATTTCTGGGTGGTGACATCACAGACAACTGATTTTTCTTTTCCATTGTCTTTTCTGCATTTCCAAAATTTTCTTTTCTGCTGAGATACAGTATTATCTTTATACTTTTTTAAAAACATGTTTTTTTTTAAAAAAAAGTTGGATTGTAATTGAAGAGTTTAGGTGGAAAATAAAAAACTGGAAGGAAATACACCAAAACATTAACTGTGGTTTTCTCTGGGTGGTAGGACTATAAATGATTATTTCCTCTTTTTTTTTAGGTTTTTGAATTTTCCAAGTAGCCTAAAACAAGCGTGTATTAATGGCATAAGAATGTTTTTACACTGTGGTCATCCTGTTAAATCACAACGAACAACCTCACTGGCAGCTGAGAAATGTACTAACCCTGTTGCGCATGAGTTACGAGACGAAGAATTTTAAATGGCAAGAGTTTCACTGAGAAATGTTATTGCTTCAACCAAGACCAAGATATGACACCATTTGTTGTGGGAAACGGCAGTAACACACACTCTACCGTTAGAAAAGTGTTGTGACAGATAAGACACTACTCTAGTACAATTATATGTTAAGTAAAAACAAAATAAAACATTTTTAAAAAGTTGTTTAAGAAAAAAAGCCAGGCATGGTGGTACATGCCTGTAATCCCAGCTACTTGGGAAGCTGAGGTTGGAGGAAGTTCGCTTGAGGCCAGGAGTTGGAGACCAGCCTGAGCAACACGGCGAGACCCTGTGTCTAAGAAAAATTTTTGTATTTTAATTTTTATAGATTTTCTTTTTAAAAATTCTTCTCTTTGCAGCTCCAGCTCAAAGGAAAAAGATTTTTTCTTTTTCTTTTGTGTTTTTTTTGAGATGGGGTTTTTCTCTTGCTGCCCAGGCTGGAGTGCAACAGCACAACCTTGGCTCACCACAACCTCCGCCTCCGGGGTTCAAGCAATTCTCCTGCCTCAGCCTCCCGAGTAGCTGGGACTACAGGCGCCCGCCACCACGCCTGGCCAATTTTGTATTTTTAGTAGAGATGGGGTTTTCTCCATGTTGGTCAGGCTGGTCTCGAACTCCCAACCTCAGGTGATCTGCCTGCCTCAGCCTCCCAAAGTGCTGGGATTACAGGCGTGAGATGCCATGCCCGTTCAAGATTTTCTTTTTAATTTAAAAATACAGTAAAAGAAAAGAGAGAGAGAGAGAAAAGGAAGGAAGGAAGGAAGGAAGGAAGGAAGGAGAGCAGGAGAGGAGGAGAGAGAAAGAGAGAAAGAGAGAAAAAGAAACCACTACCACCAGAAGAAGGGCTCTTGATTCAGCCTTAAAAACATGCAAGCTGCGCTCCAGTGCCAGAGGTGAGGGCTCTGGGGTAGGGGCTGGGGGTGGCGGTGCAGAGTGGAAATTAAAAGGAAATACCCCACACCTAACATCTAACAGCACTTAACTGTGAGGGAGTGGTAGAATTTGGAATTTCAGATGATTTCTGCATTTTTTTTTTGTTCTACTTTATGGTTTCCCAACATTTCTATAGCAAATCCTAAAATCAGAAAACTGTTATTAACTGAATACAAAATACTAAAACATTAAACTATTATTTAAAATCACTTAAAAACGAAGTCACCTCCTTCAGGAAGCCTCCAGGATGGTCACTCATTCCAATATAACACCACTGAGCTTCATGCCACCTCAAACATCGCGTTTCGAAGGTAATACCTCCCTTTTCGACGGTAATTTAATTCTTTCCTGGGCCATCTCAGCCGCCTCACCGGGAGCTTCTAAGAGTGAGGACTTTGTCTTGTTTGTCTCTGCACTCCTAGTGCCTGGCACAGTAAATATTTACATCAGTTGAATGTCAATGCCCTAAGGAAGGAGGTGGGGGGGAGGGAAGAGCCATCCAAAATTCTCTCCTCTGTGTGTGCAGGAAAGTCCAAGAGTTCGTGAAGGTCCGTAAATACCGGAAGGTCCGCCCGCCGTTGGAGTGTAGACCGGCACAGCGCATGGGAAAACCGGCAGGACTACCAAAGCTGATTATCCGACCTGCGCCCTGGGACCCGTTTCTCTCCAGCAGAATGTGCACATCAGCCCTGTTCATAATGGCTTCAAAACGGCCTCCATCTACGGCAGGCTGGATGATACATTGTGTGTGTTCACAACACAGAAACCACCACGACAGCAAGGAGAATGGATGACCCCCAGCTCCTCACAACATGAATGAATCCCACAAGGTTAAGTTTGAGCAAAGGAAGCTAAAACCAAGAGCACTTACAGTGTGATTCCGATGATAGAAAGTATAAAAACTAACCCAAGGTGTTGGGAAACGGAATGGAGGCTCCACGTGGAGGGTATGGAAACGGGAAGGGGCTGCTGGGGTGCTGGTGCGGTTCTGTTTATGATTGATCTGGGTGGGTGGGTGCTGGTTACACGGTGGGTTCAGCTGTCAATGTATAATGCACACATTTTTCTCTACGTGTGTTTTATTTCAATAAAATAAATACTACTCTTTGGGAGCTTATATGAACAATCTATAAAGGACACCGACAAAATGAAAGCAAGCCTATGTACTGCACTCCATAGTTTATAAAGAATGTCACCATGATGTTTCACTAATAAACTATGCAGTGGACAGAAAAGGACCTATCATCTCCTTTTACAGATGAGAAAACCAAGGCTCTGGAAGGACAAGTGACTTGCCCAAGGTTACCGACAGGAAGTTGCAGAGCAGAAACCTGACCACAGGGTCCCTGATTCTGGAATTAGCAATCAGGTTACCATCAGTCACCTCCTCCAGAGGGAGGGATTTCTGTTGCTCCCAAGTGTAAAATGAGGGTTCTGATGTTTGACACATGGATAGATTCATGTAACCACCACCATCACCATCAGGACCCAGAACAGCTCTGCCACCCCCAAAAATCTCCCTTGCGTTCTTTATAGTTACACAATCCGCCCATCCCTAAACCTGGCGATCCCTGATCTGTCCTCCACCACTGTGTTTTTGATAGGTATGGTATTAAATCCACAGACCAATGTGGGAGGGTTTACGTCTCTAGCACGTGGAGTCGCCCACTCCTTTAGTCAGAGTTCTTCAATTCTATCAGCATTCTGTAGTCTTCAGCCTGTAGATCTTGGATATGTTTTGTTAGGTTTATACCTATAGGTTCCATCATGTAATGGTTAGCACTCTGGACTCTGAATCCAGATTTATACCTATGAATTTTGCTTTTTGGGGAACTATTGTAAACGGCAATGTTTCTGAAATTGTTCATTACTAGTACATAAAAATACTACTGAGTCAAGCGCGATGGCTCACATCTGTACTCCCAGCACTTTGAGAGGCTGAGGCGGGTGGATCACTTAAGGTCAGGCGTTTGAGACCAGTCTGGCCAACATGGTGAAACTCTCTCTACTAAAAATACAAAAATTAGCCGGGCATGGTGGTGTGCACCTGTTATCCCAGTTACTTGAGAGGCTGAGGCAGGAGAATCGCTTGAACCCGGGAGGTGGAGTTTGCAGTGAGCTGAGATCGAGATCACACCACTGCAATCCAGCCTGGGTGACAGAGCAAGACTCCATCTCAAAAAAAAAAAAAAGAAAAGAAAAAGAAAAAGAAAAAAGCATTCAGCCTTTCAGCATTTGGGGTGGTCTTCTGAGGTGTGAGGTGGAGTAGATTTTGTGGTGACAATCAGGAACTTGTTTTTGGACATGTTGAGTTGGAGATGTCTTTTGGAAGTGGAGACACTAAAGAGGCAGCTGAATATTTGAGTCTGGCATTTGAGAAAGAAGTCTGGGTTAGAGGTAAAAATTTGGGAATCACAGGCACAGAGGTGGCGGTTAACACCCTGATGAAATTTGATGCGCTCATCAAGGGAGAGGGGTATTGAAAAGAATTTCTTTAATCTGATAAAGGCTTTATGCCAAAAACCTGCAGAAACCATCCTACTCACTGGAGAAAGCTTTGGCAAACTCCTTTTAACACTGGCTTATGATGGTGAGGAGCTGGGGCAGCCTCGTTGTCCACAACTGGCAAAATAAATTAGTAACGAGTGGTGGAGGCCATGTCTGTGCGGCCGTGGTATTAAAACTAGACGTCAAAACAGCAGCATGGTGGAGTCTAAAGGCAGAGGACCGAGTGATGAATGTAAAGAATCAAACGCAGTATATGTAAGTACAAACCACTCCCACGGACAGAACACTGTGTAACGTACAAGGACACTTAAAAATCCAAGGCCATATTACGTACATTAGCATAGGGACTTCGGGGAGCTGTGGGAATGGCAGTGAGGAAGCAGGGAGCGGGGACAAAGGAAAAAACGAATAAATGAAACAAGAACTGAGAGCTCATTTGGGTATGTCATATGCTAAGAGAGATAATGCATTCCACTCTCTCTGCACCTAGGGTCCAAAACAGGTGAGTGAATAAAGAAAAATAAAAGTGTAGAGTGACCCGGGAACTCTGAAAGGCTCATCCAGCCCCACACGATTATTCTTTCAGTTATTGGTTTGTCTCTCCTCCCTGCTAGCCTGAAGCTCTATGAGCATAAAGACCATCATCTTACCCATCTCTGCATCCCGAGCGCTTGCACATGGCAGCAGTTTCATAAGTGCCACCAGTTCAGGCTGGGATGCTCTGAATTTTGGCCCCAGGGATACACACTGAGATAGGCTTGGCCTGGAGGCAGGTGCCTTCTCCCATAGCCTCTGCTCAGGACAAGGAGGGGGTAGGGACCTGGGAAAGCCTTCAGAACCCAGAGCCTCCCTGCTGGCCCCACCCCTCAGACCCCTCCCCCTCGCAGAGGCTCCTGGCTGCTCTCTGGCAGCCCTGGAAGTGGAGGGGCCCAGTTTGGGGCTGCAGGGGCCCCGGCTGCCCACCACCCTCTGCCAATGTCCTGCCAGCTTAAAATGGGGCCTCCGGGTGTGTGTCAGCCCCATCGCCACCCCCTCCCTCCCTTCTCTGCCAGGCTCCCGGCTCCTCTGTAGCCTGATTATAGAAGCCCCAGCTAGGCTGTGGCTCCAGAAGAGCAGCTACTTGGCAGTGCAGTGGAGGGGGCTGAGGGGCCAGGCCGGCCTTGGCTCTGAGGACTGATTCAGCAATCTGGGCAGAGGGCCCGGGAGCATCCTGGAGCGGGGCAAAAAGCCAGCCCTGGGCTGCATCTCAGAAGATCTGGGGCAAATGATAGAAGAACGGGACAAACGTGTCACTACCATTTCTTCGGCCCTCATGTCGCACTCAGCCCCATGCTGTTTACATCCCTGATCTCACAATAAGGATGAACAGCCCCCGTTTTGTAGTTTAGGAAACCGAGCAGAGGGTCTGGCTAGTCTTCGACCACACTCCATTCAAGCCCAGGCTGACTCCAGGGCTCAACCTCTCCAGGCCTCAGTTTCCCTATCATGAAGAGTAAGAGAGACGAGTGCCCCGCTGGCTCCATCCCACAAGAATAAGGGAAGCCAAACGAGCTTAGGGCAGGGTATTTGGCAGCGGGGGGAGTCAGGCCAGGTGAGTTCCCCTACCTGAGCGGCCTGGCCAGGCGGCAAGTGAAGAAACAAAGGAGGCCCAAGACCAGCCCCAGAAGGAGGAGGCTGAGGGCCACCGTGAGGACCACATCCAGGATGGGGGACAGGAGGGCCATCTTGAGGCAAAGAGGGCCCCTGGGAGCGGCCACTACGCCCCGCGCACAGTCGGTCACACTAGCTCCAAAGCCCTGGGTCAGTGGCCGTGACCTGCTTTATCCCTAAGTTAATCTTTGTGGATTAGTCAGGCGGGATGAAATGGAGTGCTGGGGTGGGAGGGGGAGCAGGCTACGAAGCTCCCCTCTCCCATTTGAGCCCCAGGGGAGGACCCGATGCTTGTTCATTCAACTTTGTTCATTCATTCCTCACTCGCAAATACCTACGGAGCTCCTGCTGGGTAGCTCTGTGCTAGGTTCTAGGGAAACAGTCGGGAACAGGACAGACAGTTTCTGACAGCTTGGAGGTAACTGCCCAGCCAGTGTAGACAAAGCACCTACTATGTGCTAGACATTGTGCCAGGTGCCCTGTGGGGTAAAAACACAGAAGGAAAGGAACCCCTTGGCTAGTAGCAGAGGTTTTCCCTTAACAGCAGCAGCTGCTCCAGCCCATCTATGAACCCAGAAATCTGCGTTGGTGCTTACCCCAGCCAGAGGGATGCACCCATGTTCAGAAGAAGACAAACTGCTCTTATTGAGCACCTACTGTGTACCAGGCCCCATCTGGGCTAGAGACTAGTATCCCCATTTGCAGAGAAACAGAGGCTCAGAGGTGCAATGGTGGAGCCGGGATTTAAGCCCAAATCTGCTGGTCTCCACGGCCTGTAGCTCAGAACTGAGATAGCAGCAGCCTAGGGAGGCTTTAGTCAAGCCCTGCCAGGCGCTGGCCTAAAGCCAGCAGTCACCCAGGAGGCAGCACACACAGGCCGGAGGTGGACGAGCTGTTGCCAGCACGGAGGGGTCTTTTCTGCTTCCAAAATTGTCCCCCCAACCCAGATCCAGTCTCTCCCAAAACATCCCATGAAGTCAGGGGAGTGGTTATGATTCCCATCTCACAGAGTCAGAAACGGCCCAGAGAGGTCAAGCCACGTGACACAGGCACCGCTGTGCACCATTAGACCAGGCCTTTTCCAATCATGCTTCCTGCCTCCTGGTACACCTCAGATCACATGGCACAAAATACCCAAGGTCAGGGGGAGACACTTTTACCCTCTTGGTGCCAAGGAAAGTCCCCTCTTCTTGACCCCAGAAAGGCCACTGACCTCACTGTAACAGGAAAACGAATCTCGTT